TATATATATATATATTGTTAATAAATTTCATATAACCTCTTTATTAATTCTAAATTCTTTACTTGAATTTTAATTAAATCACATAAAAGTTTTTCATATCTGACTCGCATTGCAAAATAAATTTTTAAATAATGATGATGGGCATATAAACTTTAAAAATAAGGTTATATCACATGAACAATTTAGAATCCACTCTTCTAAATTAATTTATTTTTTGACACCCTCTTTTTATAACTCATATTTTCGCCTCTATTTCATGTCTATTAAGTAGTAGTGATTTTGATTTTTATAGTTTGTTTTTCCTATTAGCTAGTCTATTGAAGGATACATCATACTTATCTGAAAATGTTAATATAAAATATGTCTTTAAGTAGAATAAAGATCCTAATCAAACTTACAAAATAACTCGGATTAGGTAAATTGAAAAAAAAAAAAAAAAACCAACCAATAATAGTTAACGAGTCATACTCGAATTTTAAGTTTTTTTTTAATAAGTTATACCTATTTAATATTTTTTTTACCTAACATATTTTTACCTTTTTTTAATAACACAAATATTTTTTAAAATTAAAAATAATCATGTTCAAGTTAAGTAAAACTGTTACAAGTGACAAAACCCACCCTTTAAGCATTCTAATAGTTGTTTATCCAACGTTCGAATTTGAACTAGAGATGTTGAGCTCACAATTGTTGTAAACATGAATTAATTGATGGTGTTTCTAGATAACACGTGTTTGTAAAGAAAACTAAATAAAAAAAATGTATTTATCATTTATATATATACTAATATTCTTATTTTAACTTTTCCTTGTCTCATATGTTGTTTATATCGTGTTTGGGTTTGGCCATATGACCTTCACCACTTTCTCGTACAAAATTGTTGATATCGCGACACATCCTTACCGAAACTTGTGTCAAAATTACCAATCACGTTGGTCACAATCGTTGATATTCGTAATTTAACACTAATTTCAATATCAATAATCAAGAACAAATAATCAAATTCCGGTGTGCGAAGGTACCAGAAAACATATGGCGAGAGTGATAAAAGAATAAATAAAAGATAAAGTAGCACCTCAAACTTGGACAGTAATGCCAATAAAATCAAAAGAAGAAAACAGGATCAAACAATACATACTAAGAATTAGAGCTCTGCCTAGAACCATGTTAATGAAACAACTAAAAGCCAAAACTGAATGAGTATCCAGAAAATATTTCATATTTACCATCCATTTCTTGGGTTAAGTCTCTTCACAGCAATAATCATGCTCACCAATCCAGCCCTAAAAAATTGAACCAAATCCACCCTCTACTAAAACACTATTTGGACAAAATTTTGCTTTCCAAATTGGATGATTATAAGATCTCACTCCAAACAGTCATGGGTCCAAACGTCAAAATAAACATGCACCAGCTGGGAGAAAATTGTTGGTATCTGAATTATCATCAAATAATTTCATGTATTCTATAAAATATGCCGGCGTCAAGCTCATTAACTACATAATATTTCAAATTTATATAAGTCAATAAAATAACTTTATTCAACCGCCTATCTCTTGTTATCCTCCCTTTACCTGTTTATATATGGATGTTAAGACGAGTTTAGTTGGCTCATCTAAGTAATAATTTGAAAGGGTAGACTTACCCAAAAATTAAAATAAAAATATATTTTAATCAAGTTCGATAAGACTGATTTTTAATGGACTGTATCTTTCAGCAAGTTGAAAAAATAGTAAATAAATAACTCAACTATGAAAATATTTATTTTTTCTTCTGAGCATACTTAATTGATATTTCTAATGAGTATTATTGGGATGAGTTGTGATGGGTTTACTTAATAGGTGTAAAATTTTAATAGGATAAGTTGGGATTAAAAGAAACTAAGAATTAGAGCTGCCTATTACTACAAGTGATGGTGATACGCTACGCGATTTAAATAATAGAAAATAAAATATTTTAAAATTATATCTAAAATAACTGGAAAAGTTTAAATAATAGAAAATAAAATATTTTAAAATTGTATCTATAATAACTGGAAAAGTGAAAAGAAGAACAGATATTATTTGATCATTTTGAACAAATCCAAAATCTTTATAGAGGAAACCAATCATTAGTTCCCAACCATGGGTTGAATGGAATCCTATACATAAATCAGTTAATAGAAGAATAGAAAAAGAAATTGCAAAGATATGTGACGCACCATTTTTTAGCAAGAGAAAATTGCAAAGAAATTGAGGAAATAAAACTAGACTACCAAAATATACTTTGACAGTTTTCTAACAAAACGGAAAGATTATAAAATTGGGCATGTGTCATAGTGACTCAACTGTAGAGCTTGTTTCAGCTATGGTTTGGTGATGCAAATCATTACTCACTCTTCAAAATCAACCTTGCCCTTAGAGTGTGTTTGGGAGACATGATTTAGAGTAGATTAGAAGAAACGAGGGATGATTTGTAGAGAATTGAAAAAGGTTAGGTTGTTTGGGAGAGTGATTTGTGAGGATTTGAGGGTAAATAGAGATGGGTCCCATGAGGAAAAAGATACCCTATAAAGAGAGGAGATTTGCTAGAAATTTAAGAAAATGACAAAACCTCGAAAAACTCAAATTTCCTTTGTCCAAGGGATCTCTCGTTCATGTTGACCTTCCCATTGAAGAAGATAACACACCTGGGTCCCACTGTTGAGATTGAGCACAACAGGAAATCAGAAATGCACAAATGACTGCATTTACTCCCATTACCACTTTCAAATGTGGAGTGTGGTCCTTCCTATCAGGAACATTCATAGCATATCCATAGCTGGAGAATAATGGATCAATTGGGGTATTGATGGCAATCACACTAATTTTGCTTTTTGGTAGTGGATGAGAGTGTGGGTGCGAGAGATCGAGCAGCAGATTGGTATGGTGGAAACTGAGGAAATGGAATGGTGGTGGAGGTAGTGGCTTCTGCGATGGAATCGCAGCCAGGCTGTCAGTAAACGAGAACTTAACAACTGCTGAGAACTCATTTCTCCGAATGAAAGTATCTGACTCTGTTGGCTTTGGAGGTGGTGGTCTAAGAGTTAGGTGGGTCGATTTATGGTTTCTCACAATGATTCTATTCCTCCTTGGTTGTACTTGAGAATTGGTGACCTTAGTGCCCAATTGTGCGAGCTGCACCTCCGACTTTGGAAAATGTTTATGTTAGCTATGGCAAGCCGATCAATGGAGTCATCATAGAAGGAGAGTGCCTCTATCTAGTCCATAGGGAGGAGAAACTCGTTTGGAGCTTTGAGGGAAGAGTTCCACCAATCCAATCCTTAAAAATTGAACCAAATCCACCCTCAACTAAAACACTATCTGGACAAAAATTTCTTGTGGCCATTCTGAGCTCATTGTGGCAGAAGCTTTTCAAATTGGAAGATTATAATATCTCACTCCAAACAGTCATGGGAATCTGGAGGCTGATGAGCTCCTGCTATTTGAGTTGATACCATAACCATCTCAGCTCACACTTCTAGGAGTGAACCCTTCATAAATACCAAGTACAAGTTTACAAAAATTCAATCACCTTCCTTACAACAAACAACAAAAAGGCCCATCACTCCTTAACAAATTTACAAATCCAACCAAAGTCGCAAATTATCCTTATGCTATTAACAATATTTTCTCTCAAATTCAAAATACAGTTTTTCTTCCAGGAATCACCAGAGTGAAAACCCTATTTCTTAATGGAGATTTAAAAAAAAAAACTAAAATTTACAGCAAGGCCCAATTCTAGAATTCAGACATTCATTGGGTCCAGATCAAATTCAACTGCGATGAACCAAAGATCACCACACGAGATGAGAAAAACCAGCCAAAAAGTGGAAGGGTCTCAAGCCTGTCATACAGACAGACTAAGATACATTTCTACGGCAGCCAAAATCTCCATAAAGTTAATAACTTGGAAATAAATCTTGAAAAATAATTAGCTCATTCAGATATTAGGAGGAAACAAATTGGTATCACATGCAAGTCAAGAAGCAGAAGCAGCTTACCTGTATTGGAAGGACTCAGCCTTAACCCTGTTGCTCCAGCAAGCACCTATCAACAAAACTCACCCCAAGAATAAGAGAGTTTGGGTTATAGGTTTCAGATGCAAGGAAACAGACAAACTAAGACCCAAGAGTAAGCCTAAGTTTGCAAACTGAGTTGAATGACGGGGCATATCGTAGTGATTGCAGAGTAGTGGTAATTTCAAAGACAGTTTTGATCTTATAATTTTAAGTTAATCTCTCAAGTTGCTAACTGAACGCGCATAATGATCTGATGATTCATTTGGTTATTTGCTCTAGGCATCTAAACTGTCCTAATGGTATCAATAGAAGTACATTGCACAGCTAGTGACTTCAGACTTCAGATAGTGAGTATAACAGAAACTATAGAGCACATAAACATGCTAATGTTCTTATTTCTTGATCATATCAGTAAACAATGGCTTGGTACAGGAAATAAAAATATAGGATATATGACCAGAAATAAGCAATCAGCTAATTGAAAAAGCATGGGAGAGTAGTAATGAAATAATGGGACTGAAAACTATGTCCTATCCACACATCCCATCTTAACGCAGAATGGCAAATTCTATGTAATTAATATTAAATGAAGTATTTACATATTTGAATGATAACATCCATACATAAAATGTTTAGGAATGACAATCAACAAATATTGACAAATTACTAGTAATTATACACATGATGGAAGCTTACCTGAAATTGGAGATCCTGGGAACTAAGGTTAGTGAAACTCCAAACTTAATAATCAGCCAATAGTCCAATGAATAAAAGGGAGTTCATAACTGAAACAAACCACATTAATCTGAGGCTTTCATCATGAAATAAAATTAAATGACCATAGTGGAAGAATGGAGAAGAGGAGCTCTTTCGAGAAGAATAGGACTTCACAAAAGTATAATAATAATCTATTAAGATGACATAGTTAACAAAATGCAGCAAAAACAACAATAGAGGGCAAAGAAAGTTCAGTGAGGCATTTGCAGAAAAGTAAAATCAAGAAGAAAGAAAAAAAGTTTGCATTGATATTAATGCATGCACTTGTCCTAAAGGTTAATTGATAAGAACATTACATTGACAGGAAATGAACCAAAAACAACAGAACTATCACCATGATAATGCATCTCCTGACACAGACAAAGTTGCATCAAATTATGGTTTACAAAAAACAAATTACATTTTATTCTTGTAATTCTGACAACAATTATGGCCCAACCTAACTAAAACTTTGTCTATCCCGTGTCACAAAACAGAAATAGCTCCAGCAGAACGAGAGCTCTCCCATACTTCAATACCCTCAACATCTTCCCTACTAACAAACAACCTATCCCCACCACCTTCAATCTTCTTTATAACCCCTCTCTCTGAATCCTCCCTCTTATCCACAAAATTCCTCCTATAAAACCTCTCAGCATCATCACTCTCACTTTCAACATCACCACTTTCTACCCTGGACCAAACCTCTAACTCTCCTTCTCTAGCCACAAAGAGTTGCCCCTTATAACAATGCACCACACTATTCCTCACTTCACCATAACTCACCAAACTAGGGTTCTTCTCCTTCAAATAAACCCAAGGATCCTCCTTCAAAAACCTCATATCCGCCATAGCCAAATCCCCCGACTTGGAACACAGCTTAAAAAGCAACAACCCCTCCACGTCAACATCCACGTCAGCAAACGAATCCCCGAACCTGCTGCTCCGTCCCGAGCCAGGCTCGTGCGTCTCCCAAACCACCTCCCCGGACCTCGGGTCCCACAACCGAATGTAGCCGGAGTAACCGAACGCGCCGCCGGTGACCGCGCTTCCGACGAGAACTCCGGTCGCCGGAATCCACGTCAGCTTCCCGGGAACGATGTTCTTCGCCTGGTTCCCCGATTGGCGACCTAACTGCGAATTAATCTGAAGCCTCGCCTTGTCCACTTCGAGAATACAATTCTCTCTGTGAGGACAATCGAAAGACGCGAAAACCGAATTCTCCGACGCGGTTATCGAATTGACGCGCGCTTTGAAGATTCGAGGATCCAAGGGATCGGTCCAGTGGACCGATCCGACGTGGCGGCTGCCGGAGAAGTTGTAGAAGTGGAGGCCGGCGTCGGAGGTGGAGCCCACGGCGGCGATCTCCGGCCAGACCTTGCAGATGGAGTCGATGTCGTCGAGGTGCGTGCGGACGGTGGCGGAGTGGGTGAGGTTGGAGTCGTAGCCGGAGATCTGGCCGCCGTGGGCGATCCAGACGGGGCCGGGGTCAGCGCGGGGGG